ATTTTTTGACTATAAGTCGTATGCCATTATACGGTCTCGGCTGATGAAATTTACGCAGCATATAATGGGTATTGACGACCGTTCGTCGGCTTCCACAACAGACAATGAATCATTTTGCTGGTTGACAAGCATTTTAGTGGTTAATTCCTGGGTTTATACATGTCGCAAAACGTGTGACTATAAAGCATTAATCTAGTCCACTGGTTTTGTTCAAAGCCTCCTGACAGCAATATCAATGCTTTGCCAATTCATTGACTGTTGTGGATCCTGCAACGACCAATCAAGAGCCTTATTTTCCATTTTACATTCATACCAAACAATAAATTTGCTTTGCCATAATGGTTTTTCCATTCCGGACACTTTGGATATATTACACAACGGAGTCTCGATGTATTGCTGGTCCTTTCACCGGTTTGTGGTATTGCAGCTACATTCAACCATGGAAGGCTATGCTGTATTGTGATCGAATTGTTGCCATAATCAGCTAAATAAATAAATAATTTTTTTTTTGAATAAGTCGAACCAAAAATAAGTTTTTTTTTTAAATAAGTCAGTTCCTGGTCCACATTCCGGAGAGAGAGAGTCTTCCAGTTAGTCCAAGCAAAAAGCTAACTATGAAACGAATTTCGGTCGGTAACGTATGAAAATTTGTTCACTTAATTGAATTTTTAATAATTAACTACACTAAGACTAAAACTTTTTAGACTTACTGTGCTTACATTAGCTTGGTCTACAAGTCGTATACCTAATCTTGTATTATACTTATAGATAATTACACACCTACAAAGAAATTGATATGCAATTCATACATACATACGAGGGGATTAACAAAAGTTCGGTAAGTTGTTTAGAAAAAAAGGAAAATCTTTTTCTATTTATTGGTCATCTTTTTCCTTTTTCATCCTCCCTACACAATCGCCATTGCTTTCAATGCATTTCTTAAGCCTACAGATCCATTTCTAAGAGCAGTCTTCAAAATCTTGCTTTTTAAGCTAATCAAGTTCAGCATTAACCTGCATTAATTATGTCCTGGTTGCTATAAAAGACCTTTCGTCTTAGATGTTTTTAATTTTTGGAAATAACCAGAAATCATAAGGTATTTCTTCGATCCCAGAGATCGCAATAAAATTACTTTAGCAGTGTGGGATGGCGCGTTGCCATAATATGAAAAGTAGCGTCGCCAATCCTTTCGGTAAGCAATCTTCGGGTGTACTATTTTGCAGTTACCGTTTGACCCTTTTCCAGTGGAATAGCAGCTACGATTTTTCTGATTTTTGGTGCTTAGATTTTACGGGTGAGTTTGCTCCTGTTGGCCTCCATTCCAGCTATTTGGTTTCTGGATCGTACTTATGGAACCAAGATTCGTCATAAGTTACGACTTTACTAAAGTTGCTGACTGACCATTTTTGAATTTGCTTAGGAAAAAATAAGCAAAATGCATTCGAGCCTCCTTCTGGGCCTCTTTTAAAGTTCGTAGTACACATCATTTCTTGTGTTAACCGTTTGTCTTCGTCCATTTTGGACTTCGCCAAAACTACAGTGACGTCATCAGCGCAAGATTTTGTTCGACCTGCTCGGGGATTGTTCTCTAGGAAAATTTGTCCTGTCTGGAATCCTCGGAACCACTTAGAAATGGTCTTTACAGACGGTGTAATCGTTCCATATGCAATTAAGCATATTCTGAATATTTGTAAAGGCTGTAAATTACGAAACACGAAGAGAATCACATGGAAAATTTCGATGTGCGTTGGTTGTTGAATTTCGTCTGACATATCCTCAGCTATATTGCATTTTGCGTCTCCATTTTAGCCGATCGTTCTAGAATTTGAAAGGAAGATTAATAAAGTAACAAGGGATTTGGTATTTTTCGATTTGACGAAAACAAATTGAAAGTCACCAACTGACCGAACTTTTGTTAATCCCTTCCCATATTACCTTTTTACTTGTAACTAACAAAAAAAAAAAAAATTAATATCCGTTGCTCAACTAAAGCTTTAGCCATTTCATGAGCAACTCGCGCCTGTGTTTTTTTATTTAATCGGTTAGCTTGTCTCTGCTTTGTATTCTAGATGCACTTAACAGATGAGCTTGCTTGAGTATGCCGTTGCTATAAATTAATATTTATAAACTTATTTTAAATGTGCATTACAACGAGTATATAATTTTAATTACATAAGTAGTTTTAAGTTTGTAATTATAACATTGAATATGTGCGAAGGGGTAATTAATAAATGTTGGCTTACTGCACTATCCAGACATACTTACTACTTACCTACTATACTGGCGTAGACACCGCTTACGCGATTATAGCCGAGTTAACAACATTGCGCCACCTTTCCAATGGAGTGGTAATCTTCCACTTCTTCTGTTCTACTGGTGGGTACTGCATCGAAAACTTTAAAAGCTAAAGTGTTCTTATCCATCCGGACCGCATGATCTAGCAGCGCAGTCGCTGGTTCTTGATTCGCTGAATAATTTCAAAATCGCCGTATAACTCGTACAGCTCATCGTTCCATCGCGTGCGGTATTCGCCATTGCCAATGCGCAAAGTACCATAAATCATTCGTAAACCTTTATCTCGAAAACTCCTAACGCTGACTCATGAGATTTTGACATCGTAAACGCTTCTGCGCCATATAGTAGGATGGATATGAGCGACTTATACAGTTTGTTTTTCGTTCGTCAAAAGTAGCACCAGTTGGCAAGAGTGATTCTGCGTTGGATTTCCAGGCTGACATTGTTGTTGGTGTTAATACTGGTTCCAAAATATACGATGCTATCCACGGCTTCAAAATTATGACTGTCCACAGTGACGTGGTTATTGCAGTCAATAATGTCAATATCAATGCCGTACGCCAGCAGCTCATATTATTTTCTTCATCAATAAGTTGAAAAGGTCACACGAGGTCCTTTCCGATCCTGAAGGAGCTTTAAGTATTGCTTACTGTCAGTTTACATAGCCGGGTAAGTTTTGCAGGGGCACCAAATACAGGCCTAACGGCGTCGAGACAACTACTTATCGTGCTGTGGAAAACTGCTTTAAAAACGACGAAGAGGTGGTGTGTGTCGATCGGGTCTGTGTTCACGGTTTTTTTTTTCCAGATTTGGCGCATAGTGAATATCTGGTCAATGGTTGATCTACCAGGTTTAGAGCCACACTTATAAGGTCCAAACAGTTTGTTGACGGTGGGCTTTAGTCTTTCACAAAAGACGCTAGACAGGACCTAATAGGCGATATTAAGGAGGCTTATCCCACGGTAGTTTTGGGGTCCCTTTTTTATGAGTTGGGCAGATCTCATTTAAATTCCAATCGTCGAACATGCTTTTGTCCGCCCATATTCTGCAAAGTAGCTGAAGCATATACCTCGTCAGCTCTTCACTGCCATCTTTCAATAGCTCTGTTGGTATGCCGTCAGCTCCCGCCGCTTTGTTGTTTTTTAAGCGGGCGATTGCTATTCGAAACTTGACATATACGGGTATTGAAACGTCTTTTCCAACGTCACCGATTAGGATTTTAGGTTCACCATGTCCGGGTGTTTCATTTTCCCTGTCATTCAGCAGGCTGGAAAAGTGTTCATCCCTTAAATTCAGTATACTCTGGGCATCGGTGGTAAGATCACCTCTTTGTGCCCTACAAGTGGCTGTTCCGGTCTTGAAACCTTTTTTAGCTGCTCCGCTGAACTTAAAACTTCAAAAATTCGAAATATATCGTAAAAGCATTGAATCCAAAAAGAATTGTGACGTACTTTTCTACGTATGAGTAGTAGAAACTAAAAGAAGGTGTGCATTCGACCCTAACTGGATTTAAATACTACAATTCATCAATTGATATTTCATTTCATTGCATTGTTGCTTCACCGGACATTCGTTGTTTCATGAATGACGAACCGTTGGAAAATGACTGTCTGATATAGAGCTTGAGCTTGTGTGAAAATAGTAATTGAAAATGTTCTGGGATTTCATCGACATGCTCATTGCCTTTCACCGATTTAATGTTCGAAAGTCGTTAAATATTAATTTTTTGCATGGAAATGTGGAAAAATTCGCTGAAGAATGGGTGCCTCGAATCCAGTGAATATAGCGAGCGTTTTCATCAAGGAATCAATTCAAAGCTCGACCATTGATATAGCGGTAAAAAGCTGCATGCTCTTTTGGAAAGACTTACGGCAAATAACTATAAAATTTAATTTCTTTTCAAACAGTTTTGCTTCTCGTATATTTGGCAACGCGATGCTTATTATTATTATTTTTTTTTTTTAATTATTCATAACAATATACAATGTATTAATTATTAAATATAAAATGAATTTTATAGTTTTTTTAAATTCATTTTTTTTTTTTAATTTCAATTAGAGTTTCAAAAACCAGCACCAGAGTAACTATCAGCGACCTCAAAACCTCCCGAGTAATGAGTCTAAGTGATTTTAATAGATTTGAAAAATTTAACCGCCATTTTACATCCACCCTTTTGAATTATGGTTATGGATTCATAACCAACGTCTCAGTGAGTTTCGAGTAAATCCGATTTTTTTGTATTAAGATTTTTTAAGAAAATTTTTGAAAATGGAAGCTAACTTTGAGATACGGATAAGCCAATGAATTTAGCACACTCGAAGTATTTATGCCTGATAGATGTCCCGTTTGTCACAGTGTATTTCATCCCAAAATGAAATACCATAAATCTGGTACGGTCATGAAAGGTATGAAGACTTTGGCAGAACCGCAGACAGCTGCTTATGCTGTTACATAGAATTCTTATGAATGAATAAGTTTGAAACACACAATTCGTCATTACTTTAGTTAAGTTTTATTTATATTTTTTTTTTTCACAAAATTTCAAGTAGCAAAAGATGCCGGTTAGCTTCAATGCATAAGCTATATACATACATATATATATATAGGTAAAAATTGATTACATTAAGTGATAATTCTATGAAACAAAACCAAATTATGAAAGACGTAATAATTATACGCGCAAGTACGTTATATGTGTATATGTATTTTTTTTAGGTATGTGTGTGTGTGTCTGTGTATGTGTGTGTGTGTAGCTCACAAAACTTGCTTATCCCATAAAACCACTAATGCCATTACGAATTTTTATCTCACGCGCAATATAACAGGCAAACAAGACGCCGAAGAACTGTTAAGAGAAAATAAAAATTAAAAAAAAAATTTATTATGAAATAATGAATAATAAATTCAAACTCACATTTGTATTATATAAATATTAATCGTTATAAAAAACTAACTTACCTGTATGACAGCGAGTACAATGCCGCAAGCGCCCAAACTAACTGCATGCGCTTCAATAAAAGTCGAAAATTTAAGCAAACAACCATTTGTGTGACGTTCGGTGGTTTCGTTAGTGGTGCCACACTCGTATGAACCCACCACACCATATGGTATGGTGCAGCAGGATAAGGGCAAACTGCCATTGAATTGTGTCCAATCTTTGTAGCTATTTACGCCACAACAGTCGAACTGAAATATTAAAATAAAATAAATAAATAAATACATAATATAATAAATATATAATATATATGTATATAAAAAATAAATATTGTACATACAGTAGATTGCACATAATCCCAAATATGCGTATATGAATCTGTAGGTTGGTTCTTTTGGTACAACGTAAGTGAACCTTTCAAACTGCTTTCAAGTAACTGCTCAGCATCCGAACGCAGAACATAACCACTTATACCAGCTGCCAGCTCGAGTATGAAGATCAAACCGAGTAGAATGGCGAAGATGAGTGTGAGGCAATAGTTTTCCCTCAGTGCGCCCCAGCAACCGAAGAACGAGATGAATATGATGAAAACACCAATTACAATCAGGAATGTTGGTATCGAAAAGAAATTGCTCGCAAGCAGTACTTCATAGCTATAGAATACGGAGGCTACGCCCACACCGACAGCAATCAATATGATGCCAGTAATCTAAAGTCGAATAAAAGAATTGCAAATTTAAAAAATTAATATTATATTTTAATTTTGTTAGCAATATTATAATAGTCATTTAATATATACTTAGTATATAAATATATATGTAGTTAAACGTAAAATAAATAAGTATAATTAGTAGTTTAAGAAATAAAAATGCTTTAAAAAAAAAAACAAAATCAGCTGCTGATCTGACTTTTCTATGTTTAGATAAAAATTCTAAAATTTGTTCTTTTGGTAAAAGTGCGTGCACTCGAAATCTCAGCAAATTGGGCTGATAGATAATGTGTTTCTTTGTGGAGCTGAAAAAATTTGAGGTCTGCATTTTTAGGATGAAGAAAAAAATTCACCAATTTGATTCTTAAGAGAAAATATCAAAATACTCTCCAACTTGAAAGAAGGGCCAGTAAAGAGATTCCAATTCGGAATACCTGCTGAGAGACGATTGTGTCGAAATGTGGTCTACGATCGCAAGTTTTGTATTATCTCTGCAAAAGTGTGGTCACGAAACTAAAGAAGGAGGGCCGAATTAAGCCTCGAAATTCAATTCAAACTGCTTGCTTATTAACCGTAACAAGCGCCATTAGAACTATCTCAATATATTCCCTGGATGTAATAGTCAACAATAGGTCAACTATTTTGCAAGTGACGTATGAAGCAGTGTTAAGAGTTAGCAACCTAAATGGCTCTGAAAGTCCCGTAAGAACATCTACTAACTAAGCAGTGAATCATGGGGCGAAAGCTCTACTCTTGCAAGTCTGACATCTTTAGCAAATTGAGACGTTACATTATTCCTGAGATGGGCATGCTTTGTTAGAAGACAATTATCTCAGAAGCGGTTCAGTCCTAGATCGAGTGCATTAGTCTTCCCTTGTACAAAAAAGTGAAATATTTTGAAACAATTCTTATCAGAAAACTATGTTGAAAGTATACGTATCGCGAAAGTCAATGGAAAAAAATTACTTTCAGTGAAAGAAGAAGTAAAATTTTTGATGGATGAATCGAGAGGTCGGTACTTGTGGTTTGGATTCTTATGAATCATTCAACTGCGGGGCATTCGGGCTCAGCGACCATTTTGAGGTGAGTGATGTAACTCCTAGAAAGCGAAGGACACGTTGCATAGAAGATTAGAAGTAAGTGAGGTCAACATTAACTCAATCAAAAATCGGTGGCGACCCCAAAAAAAGTCTTTTTTTACTTAGACTTATTTATCGATGTACATTTATAATATATTTAACGTACTTTTTATAAATCTTTAAAAAATTGCCAAATTTTTATAAACCAATGAAATTCTGTAACACCTTTTAGAGCTTCCATAAAAAGCCAAATATTTATTGAGAAAATTAATAATTTGTACCGACAATAAGTATAACCATTTTACATGATTTTATAACACAGCTCTTAGAAGCTACATTGCTTAAAATATAAAGTATTTTTCATTGGAAAATAATTAATATTCTCATAAATTGTCCCTCAATAACAATTTTTATAACTTACAGCGAATGAAAACAATAACTGTAATTCCTTTTATTACCTCAGATACGAGAAAGCTTTATTGTGATAAGCTACCAGCCGGCCGCGTTAGCCAAGTGGTTAGCATATGTTTAGTGTACTGCCATTCGGAAGGCTCGGGTTCAAATCCCCGTGCAACCAAAATCCAAAAATCATAAAAAATTAATTTAAATAAAAAATTGAGCTAAATTTTTTAATTGCGGTCTCCCCTCGGCAGGGAATGTCAACCTCTCTGACTGTACTTCTGACATGAAATAAAGGTTCCTTCGGAGGTGGCTTAGTATAAACTGTAGGTCCCTCAATTTGTTGGAAAAATATGAAGACGAAATACCACAAATTGGAGGGGCTCGACGGAAAATCGCTTCAGCGGTTACAAAACGCCAATTATATATATATATATATATATGATTTGACTAAAAAAAAAAGAAAAGAAAAACATTATCTGACATATTGCAGCTGCATTGAGACACAAATCGATTAGGTAAACTACTTTTGGACTTTAACCGCCAACAAAAATTTCGATAAAAAAACACGAATTTGAATGGGATTTTTGCTGAGTAAATATGCTGCAGACATAGCTTTGTTATGAGTCATCACAATTTCAAACATTTCGCGACCTCATTATGAGTAAAATTTTATCAATGGACTACACCTGCTTAAGTTTTTGGGGGTATATATATAATCTACATTCTTTCGTCATACAGTGCGTATGAGTAGCAAAATACATATAACAGTAAAATAAAGTGATAAAAAAAACAAAAGAACAGAAAATAAAATAAAATAACCTAAACTAAAATAAACTATAATAAAGTAAAATAAAAGAAAATAAAATAAAATCAAATAAAACAAAAAAAAGAAGTTAAAATAAAATAAAAATAAAATAAGATTAGTAATAAAATATAAAATAAAATAAAATGAACCAAAATAAAATAAAAAAACATCAAAAAAAAAAAATAAATTAATTTAAAGTAAAATTTAATTTAATTTTAATTGTGTTTGCGGCCTTTAATTTAATTATATTTAATTAAATAACAAAAAATGAGTATATAAAATAATATAATATTATTATATTATTACATAAAACAGAATAACATTAACTAAAATATAGTAAACTAAAATAAAATAAAGTAAAATAAAATAAAATGTCATGAATTGAAGTAAAATTAAATACAATAAAATAAACTAAAATAAAATAAAGCAAACTAAAATTAAAAAATAATATAAAATAAAATAGAACAAAATAAATTAAATTAAAAAATACAAAAAAATCAAATAAAGTAATATAAAATATCATAATATAGAATAAAGTTAACTATAATAAAATAAAACAAATTAAAATAATATAAAAAAATTTAAAACCATAAATTAAATTTATATAAAATAAAATAAAGCAAAATGAAATATAAAATACAAAAAATAAAAATAAAATAAATGGAATTAATTTTAAATGAAACAAAGCAAAATAAAATAGCGTAAAATTAATCAAAATAAATTAAAATAAAATAACATAAAATAAGATAAAATTAAAAAATAATATCAATGAAATTGAAATAAAACTAATGAAATAAAATTAATATATAAAACAAAATTAAACAAAATAAACTAAGCAAAATACAATGAACTAGAATAAAGTAAATAAAAATCGATTAAAAAATTTTAGAAAAAGAAGTATTTAAAAAACTAAGCAATATGCAATTAATAAATAAAAGCATTTAACATATTCATATACTAACATGAATTGAAATATTTGGACATAGTTTGGGTAAAAATGACCAGCTAATAAATGTTTTAGTTTAAGCTTAAGCACACAATTGAACTAAACCAAAGTTATGATTATTAAAGAATTTTTTTTCGTAACGATAACAATTTAAAAAAGTAATATTATTAGCCCTTAAACAACTGCATTTAGCTAGTATAAATTTTTCGTATATAATATATTTCCAATATTTTCAAATTACTTACCAAAAATATCAAATTGAATGCGAAGAGCACATATTTGATAGTATTCGCACTACCAGTCAAAAGTGACATTTTTCAAATTTATACAACAACTCTTGCACGTCTGTAAAAAATATATAAACACAAAGACCTTTTTTCAATAATATGAATAAATATATACATATAGTTTTTATGCTATATTTAAATTAATTGTTTCTCGTATGTGCTGACGCGTCTGCTAATTTTAGTATGTTTAACTCGCACGGTCTATTATCAAATACTAACAAAGCTTAAATTGGCTGAATTTAACTTTAGTCAAATTTATTTCTTCGGCTTATCAATTTAAAAGCAATAAAAAAAAAACAATAATTATTTATTTGCTGCATGCATGTATTTTTCTCATCGACAAAGTTTAATGGTAAATTTTATTTTACAAACCTTCCAATAAATTTTAATCACTATCTATTTACAGCGTTGTAAGCACAGGGGTCTATTTAATCTTATCCACGCACACACTAACTCTTGCGGCCCTTTTTACACACTCGTTATTTCTCTTTTATGCGTTGCAGTTTTGATCGATTGAAATGTAATATTCAGACTAGTCTTACTTTATTATTATCTACTATCTAAGGTAACACTCAGCGGTTTATTGCCATGGTTCCATTTGTTATGGCCTGCAAGCATGTGTTGTTCAATATTGACTGGTCAATGATTCGCAAGAGAGATAATCAGTTGCCATCCGATTAGATAGTATAGTATCAGAAAACTGCATGTTATAAATAATATGCAGGTGTATGTAAACAAAGGTGGATATAAAGTTGTTAAGGCTGCCATATAGTTTTCAAAAAAAAAAAAAAAAAAAAAATACATTGCTATAAATTATTTATGAAAAGCTATATTATTTCCGTTATTTGTGAAATACCTTTCCCAAAGTTTTGTTGTTTGAAAGTGGCAACAATAGAGCAGTACCTAAGATCATGACCAGGCTTTTAGATAGTAACTTGCGCTAAGTAAAAGTGAGAGTTAGGTTTCTTGTGTGTTGAAATGATCGAGCACTACTTGTCCTGCCATCAGCCAAAGGCTTTGAGACGTCAAATATTTTACGAGATTCTCTCCTCGATAAAGGGCGTTAGACTTCCTTTATATGAAAAATTGAAATATTTAGAGAAACCATTGGTTAATTTATATTACGACAGTGCCATTATCGGCAAGAAATGGAGCAATTCACCTAAAGTATTTTACTAGGACCTCATAAGTATAGTCAAGCCTATCTAGTTTTCGAAATTACGCAGCCTATTTTGAATAATCTTCGTTTAATTTTTGCTGCTTCCAAAAATTCTTTGTTCATTTCTTCCAAAAATGTTCCATTTTTTAGAAAAAATAAAGGCTTTTTACACGACTTTATGTTGAGAGCAGGAAACATTAAGTTTTTCACAAGGTAAAAAAAAAAAATTTACAATTATTGTAGAATTCCTTCAACTTAGAAGAGATGTAGGAGAAATACTGAAAGTTCAAGAGGGAAGCGAGCTGCATTTGCATACAGAGAAGCAGAAAGACCGACATATATAGGTAATGCTCGAAAATTCCAAGAAAAAACGTAGAAATTTTTTAAGACGAGGGCATACTCTTACTGTATCACAAGAGCTAACCTACTAGCGCTTACTTGATTTACGTGGCGAATACTTCTCAAATCTAGTTAATTGCAGTGAAGAAAAAATCCCAGCAGATGGCTAACCTGAACCCACAAATCCTTAAGCACGTTCCATCACTCGACTATCACAAAGTTCGAAAAGTTCGAAAAGCGATCGCTCGACGAACAAAGATCAAACTCTACAAGGTGCAGAGGAATAGATGATAACAACATACGCTGAGTCGGCTTTCTAAGTCTGTGAGATAAAGGTTTTAGAAAAACTGATGTTCCTTTGTTCGAGGAAAGATGTGCTGTACGACTTATACAGTTCAAAGAATCAGTAGAGAGCTAGTGGATTGGCTAGGACATACCATCCGAATGAATGAAAGCTATTCAGATTTGAAAGTATTCAAAGTGAAGAGTTGTAAGGAATGGTGCGCTATTGCTGATACGCATACAATCTCGTAAGTGGTGCTCACGGCAATGAAGAAGATTTATGGCTATTCAAAATGGCTTTCATGGCTCTTACAAGCGTGTTATGTGTAAGAGAGATTTAAAAAATTTCGTATGTGAATATAAGAATTTTGCTCTGAAAATCCAATCAAATTTATTATCCCAATTTTCTAAGCTGAGCTAATTAGAATATTTTTTTATTTTGAGAGTTTCTAGGTACTCCTACATACATAGTACATTTAAACGATATACTATTATACTAAAATGCAGCAAAATTGACACACGTATTTATGTATATGCATGTAAATACATTAAAAAATCAATATAATGCAAAGGAAATATTAATTCAAATAAAAAATTTGTTGACAAGAGGGACCAAATACAATTTTCCACAAAGAACGCAAAATGTCATCATGTCCAAAGGCCATAATGAGTTTAGTCTGTGCCACACAAGCACAAAATAATAAGCGTAATTATATCGAAGTAAGCGTTAAAATGCAATAACTCACACAAATACTTGGATATATATAGATATATATATATATATATTTCTTTAGCCATAAGGGCATTTCTCGAATGTCGAATGGGACATTCGCACACATTCAAAATAAAAAAGTTGATTTCAGTGAAACTTAATGTTACCAATTTTAGATTTGTCAGAATAATATTTTATTTTATTCGAAACAGTAATACCGTGTCCCAGTATTTGACCTCTAAAGGGATCGCCTCGGTCACTAGAATAAAATTGGTTGTTAAAGTCGATTGAGGACACCCAAGCGGCCATGACGAGGGTATTCGCAGGCATTCCAGTCGAAGCATACCAGAAATGTTAGAATCTTTGTATATCTGCCCAAGGGGACTACTTTGCAGGGGATGGCATAGTTGTGGAATAATTTTGAAATATACAGTTTTTAGAGAATTAGTCTCATTACTAAATTGTCACACCTCGTGTTGCCGTTTTCAGTATATCTAGCGTAATCCAATTGTACTTATAGAACGCGAGATACAAATCACTAAAGCCATTACTTATTGCTAAGATCACGAAAGAATTCGAGTCTTATTTCGAGAAATATCAAATATTATAAAAAATACATTTTTGTACTTACTCGCCCCTCGCGTATTCAAAGGAGTGTATTTTTGACATGATATAAAATATCTTCATAAAAAACTATCAGCCATTCGGAGGTGTTTTAGTATAAACAATAAGTTCCTCCGTTTGTTGGAAAAACATTAAGACGCAAAACCAGAAGAAGAGGAGTTCGGCCGAAAATCAATCCAGCGGTTACAAAGGGCCAGTTATAGATAAGTGCACAATGGCCTTCATAAAGACTTTTAGCCTGAAGAAAATTTGGAAAAAAATATAAAATTTTGCACTTCTTCGACTTTCCATTAGAATATTTCGTTATAAATAAATGTAATTTTTTTTTGACTGTAGCTAAATTTGATATATTTTCTATAGATATTGTTAAAACAATATACTTTTATAGACTATGAATATTTTTTCTTTTCGCGGCCAATGTTTCCGTGGAAATACCCAAATGCCCAGTATTTCTATAGTAATTGCTCCGCACGGGTGCTCCTCTGTGGTTTACCACGTACAATGCATAAGGACATGCAAATAATTTGGTTTTCGTATAAAGGATTATAAAGTTGAGTACATATGTATGTATTGTTGTGTAAACTGTAAGTCTAGAAATAAAAATTTCGTTTTCGGTTTTTGTACAACAATGTGTAATCACCAGATGGCAAAGGTGGTTTTATGATCCTTAGTGATTTGCATATATCATCGATTGCTCACTTAATAAAAGGCTATTACTGTGCGATAGTATTTGAATCCTTACAGGTCCTTAGGTCGTGGCCGCAATGGTTGATAATAGGCATCTTCCTGACCGTCAATCCTGGCTTGGAGACCATTTGTGTCGGATCATTGTCCACCGACTACGACCGTTTTCGTTTGACGTTGTCACCATATCTTTGAGAAATTGGTCAATTTTGTTATGATTCGGCAGCGATTCGCAGACGGAAAGTGCCTGTTATCAGTCGGAAGGCCATCGGCAGGGAATGTCAAGCTTCCGATTGTATTTTTGGCATGATTGGAAGCAATTTGGGTCGTATGTCAACAATAACCCGCCGAATATTAATTTCCAATGCAGTTTTGGACTTATCTGCGTAAATACAAAAAAGCGCTCCCTAAAAGTTTCCTTCAAAGTATGGATTGTTTCCTTGGCTGTACGACATGTAACGCCGTCTTGATGATGATTGGTGACCTTAGTAAGCTAAACTTAAACTGATTATCCTCAGTAATACCTATCTTAAGCGCATGAGAGCCAGAAGGCAATGCCCGTCAATAGTCCTATCAGCAGCCTGGAGTTCAGTCTCTTAACAGATAATATAAACTTGGTGAGTTTAGTATTGTATGTTTCACACATAGTCTTAGCTCGTTCCCAGAGTCTATTCCCTCGACAAAGTAGCATCACTTTTGCTTCTTCTTCACTGCCTTGAATGGAACTAGAAGGACCCTCTCTTTAGCAAGTTCGTCAGCTATCTCATTACCTTCAATGCCAGTGTGGCCTAGTAAATCGCTTCCCTACATAATGCGACCGCAGCTGACTTCGTGTTGTACGAAAAATTAATGCCTTTATGGCCGCTTGACTCTCATCATAGATGATGATCGTTTAATTTTTTCTTTTCATTCCAGCCTTATTCAAATGGTTTCGAACGGTTTTTGTGCAATCTTTAGTTCTTGGACTATCGAGACAGTGCTAACATGACGATCGGACTCGGCAATATCCACAATTTTTGACAATCGGCCTTCCACTCCATTAAGTATATCTTACATCAAAATTACCGGATTGAAGCTGAAATTTTGCATTATTGACTACAACGGTATCGGGACCATGAACACTATTTCTGCGGCCTGGCTTTCATTTTTGCCCTAGACGCGCGCTCAAATAAAACGGAATCTACATATCACAAAACTCTCAGAAAAGTTTTTTTTTAGCACGAAATGTCATCTTTTCAACGCCATCAAGCGGAACCCG